ACATTGAATCCTTGGTTGTGATACTTATTTGATAAAATAAAATGCTAGTACCTAAAAACACTAAAACATTTGATCGAATGTTATGCCTTAATGAATCATGACGTGTGATGAAAAATGATTGGTCAGTTATTCGTACTTTTACTTTTTATCATGTAGTAGCTTGGATTCAACAACGAAGCATAATACAAGATACAGCATGACAAGCTCTACAAGTTAAAATAAGAATCTTATTTATATATACACGCTCTGCTCTCTAGACATAAACAAAATTCTTTGCAACTACAATTTTCGATTCCATGAACAAGATCATTTTATTGATACACGACAAATTTATTATTTAAAACTCATAGTTTTTAACTGTAACTCATTGAATAATATTAGTGATAGTGTTCTATAAATAATAATCCAAAATATTGAGATCAAGATTAGTCATCTGTGATTGTTTTATAAAATCCATGAAATTTTTTTGACGTCATGTCAATGATATGTATATGGCGTACTGTGGTCTTATTAATCGGTGAAACCTTCGTACAGAAGTTGTTTGTCTTCAAGTAGCGTATGGAAAAGAACAACTTTAATATAATTGGAGATACAAAAGCAATTTTTAGATGCATCTAACCATATCATAAATCTTTTTGAATACTTACAACGGAACATACCCAAATATTGAATGTTATTCGAGGTCATACTTTTTTGGTTATAAGTAAGATTTAGTGAGACTAAAGAAACTTTAAAAAAAGTTAGAATCCATGACGTGCCGTGCCTAGCTGAAGATCTATTTGCCACATAAATGTAGGAATACGAATGTTTTTTTAGTTTCTCCTCTGCTTTTTTCTTTTTTTCAAGAAATTGGGGTCTGAAAATTTTAACGTTGAGTTTTCATTTAATATACGAGGCAAAATCATATTCATACAAGAACGTTTGATTGGATTTTGAGGCTTACTGCTTCATGTTACTTCAGGAAGAAAAAAATGAGTAAAGAAATTGTTTTTTCTTAACTTGAGAACCATGTGAGCGTAAACTGCAGTGTATATTCTACGAACTAACTTAATCATTTTCTCATATTCTGTTTCAAAAATGTCCCCGGTCACTTTAATAGCATTTCTGATGAGCACCTGAAATGCTAAAGAAACTGGTTTTCGATTCATTCAACACTCTAAAACAACAGAATATTACAGTTGATGATGTATTAAAGAATACTAGCATAGACGAAGAAGTCCATGGATTAGCTTGTTCTTCTTGTTGTCACTTCGTATGAAAAAAAGACAAGTCTTAATTTCACTATTATGTTACATGATAGACTTAATGAACGTAATCCTCCCAAGATTGGTCAGACCTTCTTGAATAAATATGATTTTGACGCGTGTATCAAACAAAAAATTCTTTGTTAAAATTTTTAGGTGCTAACTTCTTGAAATGGAGAAGAAAAGTCAACGAGAAACTAGAAAAACTTCCTTTTCTTACAATTTTGTAAGAATCAAATCACCATCAAGGCATGCCATGAACTTGAACGCATTTAAAGTTTTCTTGGTCTCATTGACTCTTACTCATAGTGAAAATATGAGATCAAATAGCATCCGAAACTTGGGTATGTTTTCTTGTTAGCCTTTTGACTAATTTGTCTTCTTTTTTGTCTGTTTCTGGTTGATTTGCAGCATAAACATGCTCTAATGAATAATATTTTCCGTCATTGAATCAAATTCTCTTCAATCGATGAGTCGAAGAATCAAATTGATCATTTACTCTGACAAATTGCTATGTTCATAGCATCTAAAACTGATTAAATAAAGTTTTATCTTTTAATTTGGTTTTGAATAAAACGTATCAAATAATAAAAAAAATAATACATATGATCGGTCGTTCAAATTATAAATCACCTGTTAGTTATATTATGTTTTCTACTATTTTAGACGCAGTTAGATCTACGAAATCCAAGTAACATTTCGTTTTAGTTTAATAGAGTACAGTTCGTTCAGATGAATATCTTTGTTGAATAGAGAGATGAACAGAAGAAGAAATTTCTTCTTCCAATAAGTGTTTGACTCTTCTGTTGTGACTAATTTATTTTCATAACTTCAAATAAAAAAAAAGTTTTTCAATAAATCAAAGCGATTTTACAGATTTAACAAATGATTTCTTAGAGTTTTATAAGCTCAGAAAATTAGGTATATTTTCATGTAACTATCCTAGTTAAACATTCAATTTTTTGACAAATCAATTAATTAATCCTTAAAAACCGAGTGTTCCTTCCAAGTGACTTCAGAATAATTGTTATTGTAAATTTCATAACACTTTACATGCAAGAATTATTATATGCCCAAGCTACGATGGTCTTATCAATCATAAAATAAACATCAAATCTGTCTCACTTGATTGTCAGGTGGCACAGCAAAGTTTTTTGAGTCGATATTTTTATAAATGACTCATTTTCTTCTCTAAAGACTTTGTGTACTGATAATTACTTCGATGTTTTCTTTAGAATTATTATAGTTCAGCACAACGTCAATCTATCGGATAAAACTGTTGGGTAATTTGTTAAACGGCTTATTGACTCATAGTGACATCATGAAGAAAGTGCCTTTGAGAACGAGTATTCGATCATAACGACATAAAATATTCTATCAATTCATGAATAATTGAAAAACTATTTGAAGCATTATGCGAACAAATTCTTGACTATTTTGAGTCCTTCTAAAGACTGCCGTGAGGTAGGATGAAGTGATGGTTGTCTGCTTTTTTGATCGTCAAAAATTTGTTTCGCCCGTGGTAAAATTACTGATTTTAATTCAATTTGCGACACGTGTCAGTGCTCACACAGAGTACTGTTATAATACAATGGCAATATATAAAATTAATAAATAGAATAATTTGTGAGGAAAAATTTTCTCACATAAATTAAGAAAAGTGACACATTCAAGTCGTTTCCAAAGCACACTTTGCATCTCTATACGACAAACAAGTTATGTTTTTTAAACTATAACATGATCTTATTTAGTGTTGAAAATTTCAATTTTAGCGGTCTATTTTTTTCTCATCTTCAAGAAAACCATCTTCAGTTGTAAGGATTAAGCGGAAATGGGAGCTTCTATTACTTCTGATATATCGTTTCCACAAAGGGATCTTCTATTTCAAGGAATAGACTACTTGAGACTGTCATCATTTACATATGTGTCTAGTCCTTGTTTTTCAATGTCAAGAGTCAATAGAAAAACAGATTGAGATGAGAAAATTATTTTAACATTCACTATAACCTTAGAAGTAAAGTATGAAATGTCATCAAATGAATATAATATTAACATATTCTTCTTTTCTACATGAAAGTGATTAGAACACGCTTATTTTATGCTTCATCTTTAATCAAGGTAAAAGAGGATACGGTATATTGAATAATATTCGACATAAATGAGTACTTCAATGAAAGGCAACAATGAATAAAATTTTGATAAAGATTCAATCTTTTTTAAAGTAATCAAGATAAAAATGGTACAAAAACGACGACATACAATAAATTTTCCAGACAACTTTGAACATTTTTATGAAAAGACGTATGTACAAGAAAAGCTTTATTTTTTCAAGAATTCTATTTTCTAGAATATTAAAAAAGCAACATGATAAAATTGCACTAACATTCGATGTAATAATAATTATTTATTGTTGAAGTCATTTCAATAAAAATAAAAAAAAAAAAAACATTTTATTTATCGATTAATATATTAATTATCTAGACAAACAATTTTCTTTTATTTATTCGTTTCATTTAAAAAGTTAAATTCTTTTGCTTTTAATTAAACTTCGGTACTTTTAAATGTAGAAACAATGACTGGATTTTCTGCATAATCTTTTTCGGGTCTTCCATATACAAGATTAGCTAATTCCGATTCAAGTTCAGAATCTGTAACTGCAATAACAGGATGTGCACATGGTTTACTTAATGTATTACTAATTTTATCTTGTTCATTGATTATAATTTGAACATCTGGATCGATACCCTGTATTTCTGTATTTGATATCGACTTATTATTATCATCATTATTTACTGTAAAACCTTTTGATGATGATAATGTCTGCAAAAGTTACTATGAAAAATGTGTTTCAAAACAAAAATTGAATTTTTATTTCAAAGTGGAATACCTCTGCTGGTGATGATGACATATTTGGTTGCAAATTCTTATCTAAAAGTTACATATAACTATTTAAAAAAATAGACAAAAAACATATATAAAAAAAATTTAAACCTTTGGTTTCGGATTCTGGTTGTTTAGTTGAATCGACTGAAGGTTGATAAGATTTTGCTTTTTTTGATTTATTTTTACCAGCACATGCACCCATTAAGGAAAAAAAAGAATAGAAGTTGTTGCGAATATGTTTATGGTATATGTAAAAATAGTAGACTTCTCCTGTCTTTTTTTTTTGCTGTTTATCACCTCAACTTTTTTCTTTCTTGTTCTTCGTATTGACTCATCAGTCTTACCAAAGAAGTAGAGAGGGAAAAAAACGAAAAAAAAAAAATGAGATTGGTATGTTTCATTCAAAATACTCCCAAGATAAAACCAAAGATGCAGAAGAAAAAAAGCATTTGTTTTTTCTTTTTTCATGTTAACATGTAAAAACTAAAAAGAAACAAATAATATAATCATTCATAAATGACTGTGTGGTGATTTATAGTAGATTTTTACTTTTATTTTATCATTAAATGAAATTGTTGGTTTTTTTTGTTGCACTATTGAACTAATGCAAAAATTATATGAGGGAAAAATCTTCAATGGTAATTTTTTTATTGACAAACTGTGTGTTTGAGTATACGATTAGTGTCATTTTCATCGTATTAGAGACAAGGATAGTCTATAAAATTGATAAGAATTGTGCGCTTTGTCGCCCATGCTAGCAGCTGTCATCATCGCCAATATTTAATATTATTAGTAGGCTGTATAAAAGCAAATATGTCGCAAGGAAGGAGTAATATTCCGATGGAATCGTGCGAAACAGTTAAATCGGGCATTATGGCTCTTTCGACAAGACTAATTCAAGAAACTATTGAAAAAGCACTTAGTTTGTATATGTATTCTATACTTTGCCACTTATTTATTAAATATTTATTATTATTTAGATATTATTTATGAAGATATGAATCATATCGATAAGAATACTCAGTCATTCAAGCCATCGATTAATAAAGTACATATTTAAATGGATAAGACATTGATGAGTTTTTAAACTATATTATTTGTTATCATTTATCTTTGAATTCACACAAAAAAAAACAAATTTCTCTTCATTTACTTGTTTTTTTTTGTTATCTTGACTTCTGATTTGTTATGATAAAAAAATAGAGATAACTTGAATTTAGTTTTCTTTTCTTCTACAAACTCGGATTAAATTTGTATTTTTTAAAGAACTGAGAAAAAAAGCCACAAACAAAAAGATCGGTAATAAAACTGGACGAACTATTCTTTCTAAAAATATGGAAAAAAAGCCTATCATATTCTTCGAAACCTTTTCTAACAACATTGCCAATTGAAGGAATAAATCTTGAAACATTTTTACTAGTTTGGCTCGATCTTGATGTTAATACAAGTGATGAAAATAGAAAGACTCAAATTGGTTTACGAAAAATTCTCAGATATCTTGTTACATTTGACAATATTGAATGATGTATAAAATGGTTGAAAAAATCTGATACCGATGAATAGATTGTACCTATTGTATCTGGTACTTATGGAGAAATACTTGTTCCAAAAATTCATTATTTCTCATCAATTATTTTCATTTATGTTTATTGTTTGAATGTTAATCGTAATAAACCTTAGGCTAAGACTTATTCGAAAATTCGAAGCGTAATTTCAGATATCAATGATCTTTTGAATCAACTATCTATGAACTAAACGAATCTTGAAAGTGTCAAAGGTTCAAAAGCATTACAAATATATTCGCTTGATATTAATACTGCTTCGTATATATATAGTACAATCTTTTACTTGATATTCTTCTATCCAGTGATTATTTATCATTGAATAGTACATTTTATGAACTTATTCAAATTCCTCAAGAATATAGTTCTAATGATGAATATGGTTCTAATTTAATATCTCAATTTGAACAAACATAAGAGCCACAACAAGCTATATTTTGGCTCACAAATGATACAGCTTTAATACGCTTTGTTAATAAAGCATTACGTGAACAAGATATATACATATTATTTGTATTACGTTTTCTTCTTGTTGATATTCATAATAAATTAATTCAATATCAAGCAGATTCATTAAATACATTTCATATACAACCCATGATGAAATCTCAAATAGAAAGTATTTTAGCTTATTCAAGTCAATTATTGGTTTTTAGTGGATTTTTATTTGCATCAACAAATAAGCCTCGAATAATATCTAATATGAACAATAATGATCAATTTGAAACAGTTTTGATTGATTTTAAAGCAAAATATCGTTCTGATGTAGCACCTTTTGCTTTTCTTCGTGATATCAATTCTAATATTAATAAGCAAATGAATCAGGATCAAGAAGTTATTTTTATGTGTGGTTTAATATTTCAAGTTGGTTCATCATTATTTAAAAATTGTATATGGACACTTGAACTATCATTAAGCAGTGATGGTGATGTGCAGTTATTATTGACAATGGCACAACAATTGAAACGAAGTCATAATTTATGTACTATTAGTGATTTACTTATTCATTGTAAAAAAAACAGATAAGGCAATTATTTATTATCAGTGTCTTCTCAATAAATTGCCTGAAAAGCATGTCTTAATGTCACAAATAAATAAAGAGTTAGTCAAAATAATGCCTGCAGTAAATTCAGATAAATAAGAAACATTTTTTTAAGAACAGTAAAATTCTAAAAGTATTCCTAAGATTAATTCTAATTCAATCATCAGGTACCTTGAAATACTATTTGTGTAGGAAAGTTGTTAACGGTTATCAGCCTGGTAAAAAGACAAATTAACGATGAAAAAAACAACGGAAGTCACTGTAAGAAACAAGACTATGTTTAAGGAAAATTTTCTATCGGATGAGTACTCATCGGATACTAAAGCTTGCTCAAAAAAATAATGGCCGTGGATATTTTTGCAATAACTCAAGAAAGGAAAGAGCTAGAGAGCTGCAGTTTTTACCGTTCCGTAGCCAAATGAATACTCTATATAACCATCAATAAATACTGGAAATCCTTGCGTTTTCAGTGTTCTCTCACCATGAACCTTTCAAACAGTTCATTGCGGTTTTTTAAAGTTCCGTAGATATATATATATATATATCTAAAGTATGCAAAACATAGCCCAGAGATGCTTCTACAAAATCACGCAAGGCTGAGCTCTCTAGCTATTATGATTCAAGATTGGTACCTATTTTCCTGAGGTCCATGCAAGTCGTTTTTCTCAGTGCGATAGTTTACGAGTTCATACAACAAAACACCTTGTTGATCATGGTATTCTTTACGGGAACTACTGTTCTGAATCTCAAACAACTTTTGTAATTGAACATGAGGAGTTAGATTATGCAGAAGGGTCATAGATTCAAAATATGTAATTAAAATGCAGGAAAAGCAAAAAAGTGGAATTTTATGAGAATATATTGGAAAATGTCATTAATTTATAAAAACGAACATTTGACTTTTATATGCAGTATTTATTTCATTTTTGCATCGTCTCTGTCACGTTTTGTAGCTACTCTTAGTATCCTTTAAGTGTACCGTAATCGTCTTTTTAAAAAAAACAGTGAATCAGTGTATGTGCCTATACGTTCACCTTTGTGGTGTTGTTGATGTTGTTTTTTCGGAAGGAATCTTGAATGATCAAAATTTTCAAAAGAAAGGAAATGTGTGACCCTCACGAGGGAACCGTTCCAACTGATAAATCGCTTTTTTAATGAAAGCTGGTGGGTTATAGGTTATCGACTATGCTGATTCCGAATATGAGTATGAGGAGTGCCCTTAGGCCTTCATAGGGTGGGTTTCTGGAAAACCAGGTCTTCAGAAAACTAATTTAAATGAAATTTTTGTTTTTGATCTGCTCAGATTATAGAGCACATTGAGTTGCCTATAAATCAATAGTTTTTCCTGCTTTGCATGGATTGTCTTGAATAAACAACATTAAACTTTCCTATTTGTACAGTGAAATGCTAGTAATATGCATCTACTATGTGAATTCCATTGACTGTATGTCATCGTAAAATCTATTTGAAACAAAAGAAAATATCGATTAATAGACAACTTGATGTGCTTTATAACCTGAGCAGGTCAAAAACAAAAATTTAGTTTAAAGTTGGTTTTCTAGAGATCTGGTTTTCTAGAAAACCATCCTATAAAGGCCTAAGGGCACTCCTCATACTCATATTCGAAATCAGCATAGTCGATAACCTATAACCCACCAGCTTTCATTAAAAAAGCGATTTATCAGTTGGAACGGTTCCCTCGTCAGAATACTAATGCAATGTGGCAAAGACTAAAATAAAATAAATACTGCATATAAAAGTTAAATGTTCGTTTTTATAAATTAATGACATTTTCCAATATATTCTCATAAAATTCCACTTTTTTGCTTTTCCTGCATTTTAATTACATATTTTGAATCTATGACCCTTCTGCATAATCTAACTCCTCATGTTCAATTACAAAAGTTGTTTGAGATTCAGAACAGTAGTTCCCGTAAAGAATACCATGATCAACAAGGTGTTTTGTTGTATGAACTCGTAAACTATCGCACTGAGAAAAACGACTTGCATGGATCTCAGGAAAATAGGTACCAATCTTGAATCATAATAGCTAGAGAGCTCAGCCTTGCGTGATTTTGTAGAAGCATCTCTGGGCTATGTTTTGCATACTTTAGATATATATATATATATATCTACGAAACTTTAAAAAACCGCAATGAACTGTTTGAAAGGTTCATGGTGAGAGAACACTGAAAACGCAAGGATTTCCAGTATTTATTGATGGTTATATAGAGTATTCATTTGTCTACGAAATGGTAAAAATCGCAGCTCTCTAGCTCTTTCCTTTCTTGAGTTATTGCAAAAATATCCACGGCCATTATTTTTTTGGACAAGCTTTAGTTTGTAGGGAAAGTATGGAGCTACTGAATTTGCCAGTAGGCAGCGCTGTATATCGCAAGATAATCGAAAGGAAAAGATATATAATTTCTTCTTCTTTCTCTGCAATTTCCTAGAGAAAAGTATACAACAATTTTGATTCTGCGATAATGTTTGATTTACGTATGAAAAATATATCACTTTTAAATGTTTTAGCATTATTTGATAAGCTGTTGTTCAAAAAGTTAAAAAATAATCCTATTTAGATCCACTAAACAAGAAGTTAAACAAATATTCCATTAAGATGGATCATTATCGAAATGATTTTATTTTTTTATCTCTAGTACTCGATTTTCATAAAGTAATATAATCATTACTATGCTTTTTAAATCCTTTACTTTAATACTAAACTATCTTGAACTCAAACCTTTAAATCATTAATTATCCATTTTCGATCATTGATTTCAAACAAGCAACTTTTTTTATGAAATAAGTTCATTGCTTCTTAGTCCTCTATGATTTGTCGAGCATATTTTGGTTAGCATGCATCATCTGTATGTCAAACACTGATTTGTTCACACATACACACTAGTAAAAAATTTATATTTTCGTATCAGCAATACATTTCATCAATCTCAAAATCTTTATTTGCATGATCAGTCTGTTATTTATTATTCAATATCATGTTCAAAAGTCTTTATTTAATAAGATAAAAGAAATAACAGATGAAATAACGAGAAAGACTTTCAGTTCGTATATTTATCTATATATTTATATGAATGCTTCCGTAGTAAAGTTTATAATAACGAATATACATAAAGATATTTTATACAGTGAAACGAAGGGAAAAGGATACTTAAAATAAAAATAAGAACTCAACGAGAATAGCATCAATAACAATAACTACTGTTCATTAACATGATCACATTGAATGCCTACTTCTGCATACGTTTTTCCTGAGCATAACCAACAACCAGATTTTATTGGTTGATTAATAAAAGCCATTAGTAAATCATGATCTATTGTACAATTTTGTCGTTGAACTTTTGATGATCGTGATTTTTGTTCTTCACCTAACATAGACATAACATATTGTCTTAATTTTCTTAATTCTTCTTGTTGTTTTTTTATTTTCATTAAAATCATATTAACTTTCGCTGCTTTATCTTCATCAGTCATCGTTATTGATGTCCTTCGAACTTCATCCGTTAATTGTAAAATTTGATTGTTTCCATTAATGTCGTATTCAGTAATCCAATCAGATGATAATTCTTGTTCTTGATTATTAACCGTTGAGATTGTTTGTTGTTCTTGTTCTTGTTCTTGTTCCGTCTTCATTGTTAATTGTTTAGTTTCTTTCTTTTTCTTTTGTAATTTTTTATGCAATCGTTTTTGACGTTTTAATTCTTGTTTTCGTTCAGCATCGGCAGCATCAAGTTCACTAACTAACATAACACGTCGTTCATTATTATCTTCATCATTCTGTTCTATTAATTCATCATTGAGAGGAGGAAGAGGAGGTCGAGGTGGAGTAGATACTGGAGGCAGCTCTTCTTCATCACAATTCTCGATAAGAAAACCTGAACATGGTGCAGATTGTAGGTCTTTTTGTGAAGTTGAGTCACATTCGATGATCTGGTAAAAAAAATAGAACAAGAAAAAAAAAGATTTGTTGTTGATAAATTATTATTCAGAAAAAAAAACATCGTCCAAAGTTACTGAAAATGAAACCTGTTCAGGTATCAAATCACTTTTTCAACCGAGATGATGTTCATTTAATGAGTGCTAGTGAGTAATAGAAACGTCTAGAATGATTTTATTTTCTGGACCTTCACTCTTGAGTTATCGAAAATTTTACTAGATTTTTTAATGAGACACTGTCATCGCCCTCAGGTCGCATGGAAAATCAACTTTCAAGGTTTACATCAAGCTTTTCACAAGCACAGTTCTTAATGAGATTAGTTCATTTTTGAATCTGTGAGAATAGGAGATACTAGAAAAGTTACAAGTTATTCAATGAACTATTCTCATTAAGATCTTTGTTTATGGAAAGTTTGAAGCCAAAACTTAATTTTCCGCGTGATCCGAGACATACGAAAAACTTAGTAAAATTTCGATATCTCAAAGACGAAGGCCCAAAAATCCAAATTATTCTAGACTCTTCTTTTACTTTCTAGTAGTCATCAAATGAACATCGTCTCGGTCGAAAAGCAATTTGACATCTGAGAAGGTTCACTCGTAAATTATGATTAACCAAGATTTAGACATGTTTAAATGTCTAATCAATGAATAGAAAGAATTCAATTAATGAAAATGTTCATTATGTATTTCATTAACTGTAGAAAATATCAAGAAAAAAGCGTATCAGCGCAGACTCTTTCAGACAAAAATAAGAAACTCATGCACTTGATTTAGCCTTATTATATTATAAGAAATATGTTAAGTAAAAAACCTCTAGTAGATTATAGTTGTTTTTCAAGAATAATCAATTATCAAGGAAAAGATTTCTCTTAATTATTTCTGTATTTTGAACATAAGAATAAAATTAGTATGGCATATTGCTATGGCACGGATACTTTCGATAATAATAGAAATTTTCCAATAATTCAAAATAATTTAAACATATACATTCAAGCTGTAAATGTCGAGAAGCATCGTCTGAAAATTTCTAGTCATAATACTGTTTCATTGTTAAATTTTCATAAAAGATCAAAATCCAGCAAAGTATAGTTTCGTTTCTGTATGAATTTCTTCTTTCTTTTCACTTACGATGGAATGTCTTCAAAATAAAAACGGGTTGTATATAGTTGCATCTTTTTGTCTGTATCTATTGCAAAAGAAACTAGTGTAAAAACTAAATCATAAAACTGTAGCTATTACTTTTCCTGAATGAGAGACTTTGTTTTTGGCTATGTTATAAACACAACGAATAATAAAACATTCGTGTCCAAATATAGATCGGCTTGTACCCGTAAAGCGTCACCTCAAGCACTGGAAGTTTGAACTCATTATTTTAAAAACTCATGATTATCATCTTGTAAAGCATAGACTAAAGTGTATGAAAACATATTTTATTCTTTTAATAAGTGCTTTAAATCGTATTTAGTAGTTGATAAAAGAGAGGTCACTAATAGAGAAAGAAAATTCCCTTATTTAGACCAATAATTAATCTCACCTATATATTGAAATAGCTTGATATATACAACATTGATTGAGACTATTTGTGACTACGATAACAGATGTATCTTTTGACATAACATTTGATTTTCTATATATCATACTTTTTCCGCAGAGAGCTTAAGGAAAAGTATCCTATTTATAACGTCATCGCGTAACGAAAAATGTGTATTGTTTGTTTTTCACAAGTTAGTCTGAAGTTTTTCTTTTTTTTACAAAACATATATATACCTAAAGCTAGTTTTTTATGGGCTATCTGATGCTACTATTTTTATTAGAAATAGGTTTCAATTTATAATGATTCTACGTAACGCGATGGCAGTTTTTACCTGTTTTTTTCACTTTTCATATTTTTAAAAGTGCATTTTCAAAAAGCGATCTATCGTTCAAAACCCATTGTTAGATATGAGTAAAAACTTTTATGCGTGACTACTAATGAATTGCTATTAGACTATAGTGGATTGGTCTAAGTTGATGTTATTTAATTAAAATTAGATTACCAATCAAACTCATTTGACGCTTTTATAAGACATGGTAACATTCAGTTATTCCGATCATTTCGATCTCTATATTTTGTAAAACAATAATATCCAACTATATTTCTTTGAGAAATTTGGATTAGGTTTTAAATTTGTTCAAGTTAAAGAAAACGTCTGTTATTGGTGTTGAAGTAATTGGACACAATGTTTAGTTCTAATACTGAAAAGCAAAGACTTTATTATGCAAAGGAAGGGGTGAGTAATCTAGCAAAATCAGCCCTATTCTCACAATATGAAGGAGATTCCGAGCTATCTTTATGTACTAGTAGCGCTTATTGTGTTTTATAAAACTATGAACAATTTACGAACAAAAAACGCTTGGACACTGTCCTTCTACAAGCCCGTACTGATTTTTACCATAGAAATCCTCGAAATCTGATACATATTTCGTGATTTTCTTCATAAAACTATGTTTCAATTATAAAACCAAGTACATATTCGAAATCAGCGTGAGAAAGTACGTTGAATCCGTAGAGTTATATTGAAAATTATACAACTTCGTTTTTTTATCCATTATTTGGGGGAAATTATCGGGAAAAATGATGTTTCATATTTTTCAATATAATTCTACGTTTTCGACGCAGTTTTTTTGTGCCGGTTCCAATTATGTACTTAATTTTATCCTTTAAACATACTTTTGTGGAGAAAAACACGAAATACGTATCAAATGTCAACGGTTGGTACATTGGCCAATTTGATGTATGTTTTTATACAGTTTTTGTATTAAAATGAGCAATAACTACGCCTTTAAGCCCTGCTTATTATAATTATTGAGAATAAAATATTATCTTGCCTTTACATGGCTATACATATAGCAAAAGACTGCGTGTAAAAAATTTCATTACGAAAGTTAGCGCCATCGTGCTACGTTAGTTAAACTGATCCTCCTTCAAAATATGAAGCCTACTTGAAGAATTCTTTTTTCTGTTGGATACCTCAAACTGTCGGCTGCAAAACGTCTATACGACGCTTCTTCCAATACAGTACACATTCGCAGAGAAATAAAGAAGAAACACATCACGCTCAAATTTTTGTTCCTTTTTCGTCATCGCGTTACGTTATCTATTTGTACTCTAATTTTCAAATGGCTCATTCAAACGAGCTCATATTTTCAGAGGTTATAGAGAAGAGAGAGGCATATCTTCCAACAAAAGAATGAACCTTCTGGGCAACCTGACTATTGAGAAAAATTAATAAAGTTGTGGCCAAAACGTCATCGCGTTACGCTCGTACAAGCCGAGATATATCAAAGTTCTCAAGCGTTAAAATATCAGTGACAAATAAATTTCTCTAATACAATAAAAAGATATCAGGATGATTCCTCAGAAATTGAAAATGGAAACAGAATGTGGCTACTCGTGCTAATTCACAGGGATATAGCTTTGTTCTATCTGTTTTCGGATATATTTAAGCCTCTAAAAATGCAATAATGAAGTAGCTCATATATTATAACAAGCTGTTATTGATATACAGTCCATAATCGTATATCAACGCTAAAGGAGAAACAGTAGATTTCATAAGACTTCATGGGACTTCACAAGATGGCATGAAGTTTCAAGATTAAAACCATTGCTATTCCCTTCTGAATCAATCTCTGTCACGATGTGTGATGAAGAGAGAAGCGCTGTTCAGATATTTGTCATGGTTTGTGAGGTGGAATAGCAAATTTCTATCCTATGTACTTCAACATTCCTTTTAGATCATGTTTTACAAATGACAAATTTACATACGGATGGTGGTGGTGTTGGTAATGATTCATGATTTGAACATTTATCATCTATTTTCGTTTGTTGTTTAAGTTCATTGCCAAATAAAAATTTTTCTATTGTAAAAATTTCATCATGATTATTAATATCAGCAACTAAATGAAAAGAACTATTATCTAGATTATCATTATTAGTTGTAGTTGATATGATCGGTAATTGTTTATCAGCAAAACGCATTCGATCAAATTTTGATGAATTTAATAGAGATTTTTGTTGCTGTGGCATGCGAAGCATTGTTTCTAGATATTGTGTTTTTTGTTCAATACTTTCATTTGTTTTAGTTTTTTTTACTGAACGAATCCATGACTCACGTTCATGTGGTACAACTGTAAGTGATGATGGAAGTGGAGGTGGAGGTGGAGGTGGAAGTGGCGGAGAAGGAAGTAAGGGATGTTGTTGAGAGGACATTAATGGTTGAGGTGGTGTAGAAAAATAAGTATGAGATCTCGATTTTGATTGTTGATTTTGATAATGATAATCATTTCTATGTGAACGTCGATAAGAAAGATCATTGTAATTTCTACTATCACGTCTTGATGTTGAATATTGATGATGATGTTTATTAGTTTTCTTATATTGACGTTTATAATCATGATCATATCGTTTATCATCATGATCATGTCGTTTATCATTATTATAATTCTTTGTTCGATAATATGGATGATATCGATGATTATCATCCATTTTATTCATATCTAATATATACAAAAAAAAACACAAAGTCGAATAATTAGTTTCTTTTTTTTTTTTTTTACATAGATCAAAAGTATGATGAATAATTTCTATTTCTCTATTATAGAGAGAGAGAAAGAGTCAAATACACCGAGTAAGAGAATAGATTACATACACGTACATAGAAAGCACGAAAAAGAAAAATAGTATTGCTATACAAATATCAAAAAAAAAAAAAAAAAAAAAAAAAACAACATTTGTTTATTTCATTCAAAGAAAGAGATTCTGTTGACGAGACAACAAATTAAAATCTATATACGAACAACAATCGAAGAATAAGAATAATGCACAAATTGAATTTCGTTTTATATTGTTTTTTTTTTTATAAATCATTTATTGAAACATATCGTGCACGTTTATGTGTTGATGATGAATATTCATCAATAATATAAGAAAAATTATATGAATTTTGTGTTGAAGGTAATTCACGTTCATAACGAAGATATAGACAATCATCATTTGTATTATTTGAAAGTTTATTTGTTGTAATTGTTGTTTTAGAAAGATTATTATTTATTGTTGATGAATTTTGTACACTAGATGGATTTGTTGGAATAATAAATGTTTGTTTTTGTATTGGTTGTTGACTAGATAATAAATCTTTTAATGAAGATGAATTAAGTATTTGATTATTTGAAGATAATCGTTCTTTAGGATTAACAACAACTATTTGATGAGAAACAGACTGAGAATTCGATGATAATAATGGAGTTATCGATTGAGTTTGATGATCAGTAGAAGATAATTGTGGTAAATGATGAATAGTATGTGATGATGATGGTGGAGTTGATGAACGAGAATTAATACCTATAAATGAAATTGTAAGAAATTTAGAAAACAAATTTTCTCAGAACGTTTGTAAAGTAGATTCAATTATGATTAGAGATGTAGGCCGATGCATTAATCGACAGCGATGACTAACTATTTTTGTGTAATGATCTCTTTCTTAATTCTGAGACATTTTGAAATGAGAAAAAAAAGAAAACGATAGTAGAGTACTTATTGACAAGAAACCCGATGGTAACATATCCAAAAAAAAAACGGATTCAGGATATAGTAAATTTTCAAAATTAAATATATGTTTTTGTGCCACGACGGTGGTTAAGTCGATTAGCTCGTACCTCTAATCATGATCAGATTTATTGAATAGATCAATATTTTTTTTTTATGAATATTTGTGTTTTTTCTATTAATTATTCATGAAAATGGCAATATCTCGAAACGACGTGGGGCATGACATCAGTTTTTTCGCTCGATTTTCCTAAGAGTCATAATTTAAGTGCAAGTATTCTGTTTTCGTGCCTAGACATATTTAGGATTATATAATAAGTTTCAGCTTTTTAGGTCTTATATATGGTTTTTAGTCATTTGCCATTGTCAATATGAGTTTGAACTCTCCGCGAACGATTTTACATCATGATTTTACACGACATTATAATGTTTATATTAATGATTAAATCGAATTTAAGGCAAAGCAAGCTTGTCTCAAGGAATTTTCAACTCAGCTCATGTTTCCTATGAATGAGTGAACAGTCCAACACAATTGTCGATTTTGATTCGCATAGAGAGAGCTCGAACTCATATCGAAAATGATGTGGAAATAATCTGAAAAAAAAATGAGAAAGTACAACGATTCATAACACTGAAAAGGTTGAAATTTTGCACATGATCCTAAATATGTCCATGGATGACACAATAGAATACTTATACTTAAACAATGGTTTATATGAGAGCCGACCAACAAAAAAATTTCAGCAGTGACAGACTTATATATGAATAAACTGGTTTCGATTTCGGTTTCAACGAAGTGTACGAATTAGAATCTATTTTTTTTTGTCGAACCGAAACTAAAAAGAATTCAGCTTGTTTATATTTCACTGACCGTTCAATAACACAGAAACTATTGACTAACTGAATCGTACTAAACTAGCAGAATATTTCAAATTTATAAGTAATTATAAAAAATAATTTTAAGCCTTATGCTTACAATATGTTTGGTAAGCTGAGTATTCATATAGAATCTCATTTAATGAAACCTTTACTAATAAAAAGACTTGCTTTAACGGATGTCCACTAGAAAGACATCGTCATCATCCTGTTGATATAAAGGCAAGAAATATATAGTATCTCAAGCTGTTAAAAACAAATACACAGGAACATTCTGAATTTAATTTTCTACTGTAGTTGAACTTGTTCCATACTTGGAATCAGTGAGATTTTTTCGATCGGACCGACTATTTGAAACTCTTGACTTGACAGGCAAAAAATCAGTCCGTTTAATACATGAATTAATCAATTATTACTTTTGAGAAAAGTTTCTTACTGCAGTTTCACGAAAGCATACAATAACTGTTACACTTTATAATAGTAACAACTTTTATTTTAGTTTGTCAAGTTACATATACTCTTATGCAAAGAACATAGGAAGAATTTTTTCCAAATTGTTCGAATAATAACTGATAACAAATGAGATTTTGAAAAACATCTTTGGTCTCTTTTGTTTGACTTTCTCAAATAAAAATATTTGTTTACAAGAATCGATAAGTTTGATCTATTCTTATTTGAAATCATTGCTAAATACAATTGAAAAGTTTCTCAATTCGTAAAATGATAGTATTTTTGATAGAAACATCAAATAAGCGACAAAGTACAGTTTTCATAGTAGACTTCATATTTTTAGCTTTTTCAAGACTGATATATAATATCCTAATGATTGGTATAACGTTCTCAATAGAACAGAATCTTTTGTCATATCTATGAATCACAATAATGAATTGGAAACCATTAACAATTGAGAATTTGTCCCAATTAATTAGAACTAGTCCAGAAAACTGAGCTTGAACGTTCGAAATGAATAAATTTTAGTTTAAACGGAATTCAACTTCTTCTTCGTGGTTATAATAAATTCATTTAACTTGATCCAAAGTCCTTATCTTACAATAAGAATCTATGTGCTCAATATTTAGAGTTAGGATTAGATAATGATTAGAAATTTGTCAATTGAAGACTTTCGAGTCTATATTCTTTTGGATCACTAAAGTTATAGGTATGGATAAAAAAATCGGTCGGTTACAAAAATAAAAACAGTACGGTTTCAACTCTGATTTTTACTTCGAAATAGATTTACCTGTAGAAGTATTCTTCATAGACGATCCTGAATAAGAAGTCGACTGTTGTTGTCTACCAACATAAATCGTTTGAGGTTGTCGTGATTGAGATGATGAACCGTATGCACCATTAGCTAATGCAGCAAGAACAGCTTGATCTGTATCATTCATAGTTATTGATGTACTCGAAGATGTATTTTCTATATATGACATTTTTGATGAATTAATTCCATTTATCGATGATGTTTGTTGATCATAATTAAGTAAATTTCCATTTTGTTGATTATGTAAAATAGACATTGTTTGAGTTGTTTCTGTATCTAAGTTATATTTTGATGTCATTTGTCCAGATGGAATTTTATCACCAAATGTTTTAAGTGTTTCAAGTGATAGTTCTGAAAATGGTTTATTACTTATTCGTATTATTGTTTTTTGTAAAACATCATCTGTATCTTTAATTTTTATATCGGGAAATGTTATTTCAGCTTCATTTAATGAATATAAGGTACCATTTACAAAATCACGTAATTTTCTTAATCCAACATAAAATGGAAGTTTATCTTCAGCACGTGGTAATTGTGAACATCGAGCACTTGATGATGGCATTACAAAAACATGCTAATTAAAAAAAAAATTACAAATAAAAAAAAGAAAATGAACATCCATAGAATATTATTATTACTAACCGTATCTGTTTCAGGAAATAAATCAGGTTGTTTACCATAATGAAAATGTTTATTACCTGCATAGACTTCATAAATGCCTTTAAAAAAAGTTAAAGATAAAGAATTTAATTAATGAAAAACTTCTTTTTCAAGTATATAAATAAAAAACATAGTTTTTGAATGTCGATTCAATCTGAAACAAAGCTTTGGCTCGGGAATATCATTCATCTCGTGTTCACCAATTTTCAGATTTAAACAGTAACTTTATTCTTCATTATTAAAACGACTTCTATGAAGCTCACACACATTTTCTAATGAAGTAGTGAATAGATGTTTAAATGAAGATTATTACAATTTCCTCTTACGTAGATTTTAACAATTGGGAGGCGGGCAGCAAAGATCATTAGGTACGTTTCCTTACCAAACGAGGATAGTAAGCATGAGACTCTTTTCCCAGAGTTCTTAGTAATAAAAAATGGCGCTGAACAGCATCAACAATAAGACTTCAACTGGTTCCGTCCTAGAGAAAAATCTTCAAAAATTTATTCGTATCATATCTAAAAAAATTTTTTTTGAATATTCGTTTTTTGACTGCTCGTGTCGATAACTAGCGCTTTCTTGCGCCATCTCTCTTGAATTAAGTTCTAATTGATGGCTAATAAGATGATGCAGTTAAAACCATAGAATATTTAACTATAACCTTTAGTTTCGATTGTGACTGGCAAGTTCATTCTATAATGAACATAAAAAGCATGAACTGATCAAGTTATAACTTCGAATGATAACCAATATCAGGGTTTTTCAGCTTATTGAGATATATACGATAGTGTGCTGAGACTTGCTCTAAATATAATGGATATGTAGAATAAGTCTATTTGTCGGTTAAATCAATGATTAGAAAAATAATGTAGAATTAGGAAAAACGGAATACAAAAATGAACAAAAAAAACGAGCAAATAGCAACAAGGCAAACAAAAAATAGTAGACTACTAGAAATTTTACCCTTAACGTATTTTATATTAGTATAATGAGGCTAAAGAACACATATAAATTTAATATTTTAGCCCTAAAGGAGTTTCGTTAAAAAGTTTTTTTTTTTTTTCATATAAACATACCTCGTCCATTAAATGCAACAATTTTTGGTCGATACATTTTAATTTTTTGCATTAATATTTCAGCTCCAGCAGTTATTTCATCTCTAGAATACATAACAGAAAAAAAAAAAAAGCATGACACCAATTTGTTTATTTTATTTTTTTTTTCATTTAGTTTTACTTAGTAATATCTGATCCAGCTTTAGATGGTCGTTGTACAATATTTGTAAAACCAATTCCATATTGTGGCATACGAAAATCATTATCAGCAGTAAATGCACTTGGAATTAAATCAGACATATGAAGTAGTTTCCAGAAATGATTTCCTGGTCCACCATAATGGTGTCCTTTATGTACAGCATAAAGACTTGGATTAATACCAACCTAAATAGATCAGAATCGTTTTCGTATAAATTAAAAAAAAAAAGACAAAATAACATACAAAAACAATATCAAGATTAGGTTGAAGAATATCTGAAAGTAAACGTTTTGATAATTCTTCTTCTGTTGTACCATCAAAACGATTTGGATTGGCTGTTGGATTGGAAGATTTACGTTTATTATTAATTATTGTTGGTGTTTGAGGTGAAGAAGGTATAGATGTTGATGGTGAAGTATTTTTTGTAATTATTGTTGATATTGATGGAAGAGGTGATGATGGAGAAGGTGAAACAACATTCATTATGGGTGAAATAATTGTATTTAAAGGAGTTGATAAAGAAGTTGTTTGACAAGAACGTATTTCTATATTTGTATTTTGATGTTCTTGTGATTTTTGTTCATTCTCTATTGTTGATATTGTTTCACGTTTGAGTGATTCTCTTAATTTTGATAGAAATACTTCAGCTACTTCATCCGAACCTAAAGTACTTTTTAAAGCACTAAATTAAAAAGAAAATAATAAGAAGAATTTTTAAAAATTATTTTCTTTTGAATAAATATATAATTACTTGAGATCACCACCTGATTCTAAATTTTTCTTAAATGTTTGCATTAAAACACTTCTTACACTATCTAATGCTTCATCTAAAAGTTCTTTTGTATGACTATAAAAAAAAAATTTCAATATTTTATAAACTTAAAGAAAAAAAAAAAAAGACAAGATAGATGTTACTTTTCAGATGCTGTTGTCGTTGTTGTTGGCAATACCAAAGGAGTAGGATTAACATCCATCGAAACGTGACTAAAAAAAATATATTTCAACTTATTATCATCTATGTGACTGTCTGAGAAATGTTTTCTTGTTTGTCATATACGGGAATAGAGTAGTTCATATTTTCTAGAAATTGCGGAAGAGCTAAGAATTTGGCAGAAAATGTTTTCATTCTCGAAGTGCTAAAAGTGGTAATTGAAAAGAAAGTGATAAATGAAATTCACCGTGACTCAAGCCTACTTCAATTCTATTCATCTTGCAACGATATTGTCTGATTATTTTTATTTCACTTTACTGCAAGAAACAGAAAAATGATCTTTCAAAGTTCGGTTCCTGGCCAAAGTTACTAAGAAGCTACAAAAAAATTGGCAGGAAGTTGGCCATTTTAGGAAGAGCATAGGAGAAGCTTCCCTATTGTGGAAGATCCTGTATGAAAAGCCGATGAGAAAATCAAATGTATCAGAAAAAATGATCTAAGTCGAAATATGAAAAAAAGAAGAGGACAGACAATACTATAATCGATGTTTTATAGTTTTATTTCAAACTCTATCTATTGGCAAATACCATGTTCACAATTTTGACTTTTCTCAACTTATAACTCTCTGTTCTGGGCGAGGGAGAGTATACAAATCAGTGTGATGGACTTCATGTTATCGAGCTGGTAAGAGTCTTCAGTAGAATGGCAGTCAGTTTGATGCAAAATACATCTTATTGATTATGAAAGATTAGAATCATTTTTCATGAGTTATAGATAACGAAATGTGTAGACTCAAGTCTCACCTGAATTCGCTGCGTTATACAAACATTGATCATATTACGACATAATGAGGGAAAGCTTTTTTATAGTATTCTTATTTTCTCGCGAATTAAAGAATCAAAAGATGATGACAACTGGATATTGTTATCTAATTTTAGCAACTAGCAGTATCTTCTGTTATATTGACATCAGTTAATGTCAAGATACAAATTGATATAACAACAGATTACTAGTCAAAATCTATTAATAATAATTGGTTTACTCTTATTGTTTCTCTTCACTTATTATTACCATTGACATGATTTTTCTCAGTACATATATAATTTCTATATTAATAGAATGTGAAAACTTTCGTTGGTTTATGATGCTCATTTCATATTTTATCTATCTCACACAAATGATACGTTATCTAAGTCGTAATAATCCTGAAAATATGAAGCGCAATTTAGAAGTCGACCTATTCAGTTCATCATTTGTGTTTCATCGGGTTCTGTCAACTCATGAAAATAAAGAAAAATATTTGATGTTTGTTAAGAAGAATCACAGCCAAAAAAAATACGTAAATAATAAAATTTTCTTGAAAAATCTTATTTTTGCTTTTATTGAATCAGTCGAAAACAGCCTTAAAAATTAAAGAGATTGCTCCTTGCAGAAACTCAATCAATAATGTGTAATCCATCTTATTTCTCTGAGAAATTGCATCAATGTTTTACTAGTTGAAGTTTCTATCTGTATCGATCGTTTTTCTATCGACTAACTTTAAAATAAACTCAATCAGCAAAAAAAATCGATTGGTTTTTGACATTACTAATGAGAATAATAACATCATTCCTACGGTTTAACTCGTTTTGATATTCATAGAATAGTTTTGCTAGATTTTAAGAATTTGTTAAAACTTTTGCTACGAACAAAAATATTGAGATAGAATTTCATTAAAGTTTTGATCAACTTGAAACTTCAACCAAAATCATTCGAACAAGGAATTAAAGTAGTACTTCGTGTCGTAGAAACAATATAAATATAGACTGGCATATTATGTCATTCAAGTTGTATTCAATTTAATGTAAAAGAACTTTTTAACGATAAGTTCAATCTGTGGCTAAGTAGAACTTCATTTTAAAAAAGTTCTGCCGCTTTTAATATGACTATCGCTTCGGATAAAATTGTCAACCTTGCTTAGGTTGATTCTTATTATAAAAATCTTTAATCACAACACAGAAAAGATATGGAATCCTAAAGTTTAAGACTCAAGAGAGAAATATCCAACTGATTATAATTCCGTTGACGTTCGAATTCTTGGTTTATTGCTGCAAAGATACTGGATTTTGATAGTACTTTTAAATACAATACTATGATTTCTCTCAGGAACATTAGGAAAATTGGTTCTCGAATTTCGACTTGAAACTTTATACAGAAACAGATCTTTAGCAAAATAGTTTATTGTAAAAGTTTCCAATCTTATGATCTACTCCTTATCTAGAATAAGAACATCGAAATCTGTCGATGAATATGAACGATATAAAATATAAACTTCTATCATTGTTATATCTTAAAATGTGACAATGAAAAGATCTTAAATTTCCACAATAAACTATGCTCATTAAAATCTATTTATGTACAAAGTTTTAAGTCGAAACTTGAAAAATAACGTAAAAATGCAGTATTTCCGCATCAATAAGCCAAAGGTTCGAACTGTGGTTCATAATATCCATAGTTCATTAGAATCAACATGATGCTAATAGTCTCGACTATTAATTGATTAATCAATTGGTAGATTTCTCTCGTTGGTCTCTTGTAATTACAATAGAATCTCATTTCAGTCTTAATTTCGTAGATCTATAGTGTATATTCTATCTGTTAGTTTTTTAATAAATTTAATGAAAATTTTTTCTTATTTTATACAGTAACTATACCTTGTTGTCGTTGCTTGTTGAGAAATATGATTGTTATTTATTTGATGATTATCCCATTGTTTATCATCATTTAAATTTGATAACATATTAGTAATATGTGGTTGAATTGGAGATTTATTTTCTTGTTTTATTGGAATATTTAATGGTTCATGTAATGCATTATTATAACCATTTGTATATTCATTATTATTATTATTATTTATTAAATTCGATGAAATATTATTTGAGTTTGTACTTGTTGTTAATTCACCATATTCATTTTGTTTAAATTTAACTACTAATTGTTGATTTGTTTCAGTTTCAATTGTATTTCGATTTCTAGAAGACATTCAATGTGTATAGATAGAACTAAATATATATGTATATATAATTACGCTATAGTTGATGATAAACTATCTCGACGAATTTTAAGAATTAATGAAGGATTCGATGATTGTTCATGTATAACACAATGATTTTGTTTTATTCTTTGAAAATAAAAAATAAAATATAATCAATAAATAAACATGAAAAAAAATCTCTTACTCATTCATATCTTGTTGACTAGATTGTTGATCATTATTTAATTCAGAAATATTATTAATAAGATTATCATTTGTTAAAGATTTTTTACTACGTTTTATTGGACGAGATGATATATCAGATGAATTTGAACTACAAATTTAAAAAAAAAAAATATATATATATAATAGAAAAATTCATTATTATATTTATTCCTACGTTATATATTCATCATCATCATCATTATTATCGATAAATGGTTTTTTTAATTTAACACGAAGTATTGAAGGTGATACTGTTGTAATATTAGACGTTTCATTAATTGAAATAAATGATGATTGAGAAGTATCATTTAATGTATCTGTTGATAAACGACTATTTATAATATAAAAGACAAAATTTTCATTAATATATAAGAAAAATATAATTATTTACGATGTATGAGGAAGAATAATATCATCGTAAGTTTTTATTTTTAGAACAATAGGAGTTGATGTTGCTTGTGTTCTATAAAGATGAAATGAAATATACAAGATGTTATAAACCAGAACAAAAGAGCGAAAGATTGAAATTTAAAAATCAAAACGAAGAGAAAAAAGAAAATTTGTTTGTTAAATGATATTGAAATAGGTCTTGTCTATGTCGAAATGTTTAGGAGAATATTCAGTTAAGTAGAAGATGTATTAATATGTTTCATCATATTTTGAAAATTCACGAAGAAATTAAATAAATATAAAAAGTAAAGTTCATTAAATGAAAATTCTTACGTTAATTCATCATTCATTGTTTTAATTAATATTTTTTTTTTCTTTCAATCAATAATATCAATTAATATTCATTCATTAAAATGTATACTTTTTGCGATTTGTTTTTTTTTGCAATTAAATATAATTATCATTTTAAATAAATAAATAACATAAAAGATCTGAATTAAATGATTGGCTAATCTTAAAAATGAAAAAAAGAAAAATAAATTAATTTGATCTTTTTTCCATAAGAAAAAAAAAACGTTAATTTCTTTTTTCTTTGTTCCATATTTTATTTTCATGTCATATTATGAACCATAACCAATAATTGACGAACTCTAAATATATATGGTATATGTGGTTTTATGATAGATGGTGCTCGAGTTAGTTTATGAACAAGTGAATCTATTCTTTTTATACATAAAAAAAAAACAAAATTTAGTTTTGATTTTCTGTCTATTGAATAAATTAATCAGTACAAAAATCATTCGAATGAGATTATTATCTTCATATAGATTGACAAATAAATTGAAAAAATATCACACTACAATCTTTTCTCTATTTCATATTGCTGCAATAAATAATTGCTGATCGAATCCAAACTGATGAATCAACATGGTTTGTTTTTCATCAAGCAAGCCCTTCTGACTTGTATGTCATATTACTATGAATCGAAAAAGCTTATATTTTTAATATATCACGGATGAAATACGTTAAATGTTTGCAAGCACAGCTATGAGCAACTTTCTTGACAATGACATTAAAAAAACCATAAATATCCTGTATTATTTTCGAATAACTAGTCTACATTAATTGATAATATTTAAAAACTAATATAATACTGCATAAGATTGTAGGGCATATGTGATTGTTATTTAGGCTTTAAATAGTTTCTTGCAATCCACGATTCTAAAAACAGGAATGTCTTCATTAATTTGTGTTTAAAATATTATGAATTTATTACAATACATAAGAAAATGAATATTTTGATTCGCAATAGATCGTTAAATTATCTCATATGAAAATGAAGTAATATTCAAAGAAGTATAATCAACATTGAAAAAGAAAAGTTATTAATGACATCATATCTTATCTAGTTTGTTGTTTATATCTGATACAATCATGCATGATTCACATACAAGTAAGGTAGTAAAAATAAAAATTTTTAATAGCATTTTTGTATACATTTAAGATTCATTCAATCGTTTATTTTATTTATTGAAGGCAACAGATGCAAATAAACAGTGAAAGTTACATTAATCGATATTTTAAGTTATACGTTTTTCTCAACTGATATTGACTCATTTTATTTCAGTGTCGTCGTTGAGTCTGAAGCACGCGCATCACGATTGTTGCGTCCTCTATTGTAGCTTTACTAATAGTGCGTACAGTATGTTAGTCAGCACATGCTTCGTTTCTTTTAACCAATGTTTTTTCAAGCAACAACCATATGAATAAGATTGTTAATCTACGGAACGTCTGATGATGATGTTTATGTATATAGCAAGTCGGCATTTTTCGTCATATATTTTATTTGACGTTGTTCTTCTTTAAACTGATAATAAATGCAACCTAATGACAATTGATAAAATTAAATACAAATTATATAAATGTTTATTTTTTTAGATATACATTTACTTTAATTCCTTTCAAATTGATAATTAAAGATAATATTATAAAATGGCTTCACGAAAGAAAGTTTTACTCAAGGTTATTATATTAGGTGATTCAGGTGTTGGTAAAACATCATTAATGAATCAATTTGTTAATCGAAAAGTAAAAATATTTGAATTGAAATTTGGTTTTTGTTTTTAAATGATTATTTTTAGTTTTCGAATCAATATAAAGCAACCATTGGTGCCGATTTTTTAACTAAAGAATTACAAATTGATGATCGTCTTGTTACCATGCAGGTCAGAATTTTTCTCTTTGAAAATAATATATATATATATTATTTTGTTTTTCTTCAGATTTGGGATACAGCAGGTCAAGAACGTTTTCAAAGTTTAGGTGTTGCATTTTATCGTGGTGCTGATTGTTGTGTTCTTGTTATGGATGTAACATCACCAACATCATTTAAGTCATTAGAAAGTTGGAAAGATGAATTTCTTATTCAAGCTGGACCACGTGATCCAGAAAATTTTCCATTTGTCGTAAGTTTTTCATTATATAATTCAAAACAAAAAAAAAAAAAATACACACAATCAAATTTTAGGTTATTGGAAATAAAATTGATTTAGAAAATCGAATGGTAAAAAATTTCTATTGATTTTTTTTTTTTGTTTCTTACATGTTTTAGTTTTTTTCTGTTTGATGTTTTAGATTCCAACACGTAAAGCACAAAATTGGTGCCAAGGTATATATTATAAATGAGTATTCTTGAATTAAAATTTTTTTTTCTTTTCTTTATAGAAAAAAATAATATTCCTTATTTTGAAACATCAGCTAAAGAAGGTATTAATGTTGAAAAAGCATTTGAAACTGTAGCACGTAATGCATTAGCACGTGAAAAAGAAATTGATCAACAAGCTGATTTTCCAATGCCAATTCGTATTCCACAACAAGAAGAACAACCAAAAAACAATGGATGTTCATGTTAATGGAATACATACGACTGATTTTGTTTTCTTCTTTTTTTTTGTAAATAAAACCAAAACAAAAGAAAAGCTGAACATTGCTTCGATATTTCTCCTAATTTTTTTTCATATATAACAAAAAAAAAAAGAAATGTTTTTGTCTATTCCTTTTATTATAACATTGATTTTTGTTTCATTTTTCTTTTCGTCTGTATGTATTTAACTTTGTGCATGTTGATTTCTTTGTCTTTTCAGGCTTCTCTCTTGTTCATTGTGTGCATGTACAAATCAACTGAAGATTTTTTTTTTTGCAATATCGACTTTATTCAGACTACAAAAGGAATTAACTTTTTTTAAAATACATATTGATCATTACATGAAATGAGAAAAAAATTTTGAAAAAAAGAAGACTTGAATAGTAACAATATATTAGTAAAGACTTCATCATAATAATGTAGGTTAATATCATTTTATAAATAGGAATTTTTGATCTTCTGTTTTATTTAGTAATGTCATCAAATAGTTTTAATGACATCACTTGTAATTTTAACTTACCTATTTATTACAAAACAAACAATGACAGCTAGAAAATCAAACGAGAGCAGGAAACCGTTTGAACTACTTCATCGTTGTAGACCGTATATTTTACCCACAAATAGCGGACGTATAGATTAAGAAAAGTCTCTGATGATATAGGCTCACGTTATTATGTGACTAGGATAGATAAGATTTTACTGAAATCTTTCTGGAAGATCCCGGTTTTCCGGAAAAACCATATTTTCGAACTTTGACATGAAATTTCACACATATCGAGAGCGCAACTATTCTAACTTCTATGAAAAAGCTCAGAACTATTGTAACTGATGTCATCGACGTATGAATTTTTCAAAATATAGGTGCTCTTTTGTAGGATTATATGAAACATGAATATTTTGAAAAATTCATAGCTTGATTATGTTACATGGAATAACTCTGAAATGTTTTGTAGAAACTAACCTAGCTGTGGTCTCGATATGTATATAGTTTCATATGAAAGTTTGAAAAAATGATTTTGATCGGCAACCAGACTTCTGCAGGAACATTTCCGTGAAACGTCTCCATTGCAGTCAAATCACGGGAAAGACCCATATCACCTTGTTCTTTTCTTAGCCTACAAATCTGCTACTCAAGGACAAAATATAGAATCAAAAGCGACGAGTCACTTTGAACCACTCCCTGGTAAGATATAAATTCAGTCGATTTCTTTTTTTCTCGAATCTAGTGTAAAATATATTACTTATGTGTACTAATTTAATGTCCATCAGGCATGGACATTACTAAATAATTTTACAAGGGAACATTCTCAACTGTTAATCGTAGATCGAAGTGATATTTTACCCATAAGTAGGACTCAATGAGACTAGGAAAAGCCTTAAAGAATTCGTCCCTATAGGCCTTCCTTCTGGAGTCACGATCATATTACGAGCTTTCCGGCTATGGCAAGCTATTCATAAAAAAGTGAAAAAGAAAGAATTTTCATCTGAAGTTTTCCATAAGTAGGTCTTATGATCTTTAGAACATCCTGAAAGTTTCAGTCAAAACGGATGGTTCCTTTTCGAGATATTAAATGTTCAAAAACACGACCATACGTCACATAAAAGGTCATAAAAACGACTTTTCTTTAGTATTCAATATCTCGAAAAGGAACCAACGGTTTTGATTGAAACTTTCAGGATGTCCTAAAGATCATAAGACCTACTTATTGAAAAACTTCAGGTGAAAATTGCTTCTTTTTCACTTTTTTATGAATAGCTGGTCATAAGCCAAAAAGCTCGTAAAATGATCATAACTCCAGAAGGAAGGCCTACAGGGACGAATTCTTTAAGGCTTTTCCTAATCTCACGGAGTCCTACTTATGGGCAAAATATCACTTCGATCTACGATTGACAGTTGGGAATGTTCCCTCGATAGACTTAATCTAGTTTTCACATCACATTTGCTTTGTTAGTTCTTATGCCTGTGCGGAATTTATGCAAAAAATATTATCAAAGTGAGCAAATAAAATGTATTAGAATACTATGATGCCTTTTAAGCTCCCCTCCTCACAAACCAACTTTGTTATTTTTCGGAGGATATTAGTCTATGATAGGATAGATTATAAGTGAAATATCTTCCCCAAAACTCCAATAAACTAACGAGTTATAGTCATTTTATTGATCAAAAGTACCCTGTACGCGGGCAAGATGTTCACCATAAGGATACGAGCTAACATACCCGGGCGGTTTTTAGGTTGTAGAGTGCCCTTATGGCTAGGTCGTGACAGGGTCGAATTGTTGAATTTTCCTTCCTTTGTTTTTTAAAAATCCTTTTTTCAAAAATTCTTGAATTTATGGCCAAAAAAATCACCGATCAAAACGCAAGATCTACGGCTTTTATTTCAGCAAAAGAGAAATTCAAAAATCTGGCTCTGTGACGACCTTGCC